ATAATGGGTCCTTCTTACCCTCTACCTTCATAATCACAAAGGACTGCTCAATGGTCTCCCCAGGCAGCTTACTGTCCCCATCACCAAAAAGGGACCTGACTGGCCATTGCTAAGATAAGATCTCTCCTTAAAGTCTTTATAGACCTGCGGATTTCACGATTAATATTTTGTATAATGTCTAGCAAGAAATGAAATCTCAACTCCAAACTCGCTCCCTCGTTCCCTTACAGTCTCGAGCAGGGGTATGTATCAGCAGGGGCTTTAGCACTTCTTGCCATGTGGCTAGAGTATGCGTGTTTGTGCAGTGACTTCCCATCAGGATAAAGTGTTAGAGGACAAACAAACGGTTATTTGTGGGAAATGGGCCCCCAAACTGATAAAAATTGTCTCGTGTCATAACTAAGAAGTTAACTGGGAAGTGGTTCCAAAATCAGTGTGGAATTTAGCGGAGGACTTTGTAGTGTGGTTGAAAGAATTCTGCTTGCCACCTCAGGAAATCCAGTCCTGGCCGTGATGCCGAGGGTGGATTTCAGAGCCCTCGTTTCCTTAAAACAAAGGAGAGTGAGTTGGACTCAATGATATCCAATGTCCCCGCCAGCTGTCATGTCCTAGAAGGTAAGCTCTACAAGGCCAGACTCACTGACATGGAGTGGGTGCCCAGGGAGTGTTGTGAAAGCAGGCAGTGCCCTCCAGACAGGGGCCACTACCAACCTATCCGCAGGTCGACTCCTTTCAGTGAAGGACAGTGTGCACCGTGGAACCATGGGCCCATTCAGGAAGAAAGTGCTAGAAAAGAGTTGTGGGATTCAGGTCTGTGTTAGGTGATTGGGGGTGGGGGGACTTAGGGAACTGGGAAGTTGCTCTAGGTTGTCTGAAAGCAGAGGTCATTCTGTGATTGGGTTTCTTCTAAATCTTAGCTAAGAGGGAATGCTAGAGAGGTTAACGCTGTAGCTGGTAAAGAAGAGCAGTCATTCATAGTAACCACATTAGAGGGGTATTTGGTCATTTTTATGGCTGGACAATGATGTATTTTTGCTGTGTTCAGATATGAGACCTCAGAGGGGTCTTGTTTTTATCATAATTCGTCATGGTGATAGAGTGGCCTTATCTGATGTTAATGTTTTGTACAATTGCTTTTATTCCACTGGAAATTCCCAGGGTGTCTCTGTGAGTAACCAGCTAGTTCCTAGCAACACTGGGGCCTAACTAATAAGGACCAGGCTAGATTCCAGGTATGAGGGACTGCTCTTCTCTTTTTCACTAGTGAGCTAGCCAACAAGTAATCAGGAAGCCATTGGGCCCAGTGTGGATATACGTGCAATAATGTCTCCTTTTCCAGAAGTTCCACTGAGGCCTGTCTGATTCTCAACTCTATTACAATATATATGGTTAAGATGGGTGAAATTTTAAGTGTAGAAAACCGAAACAATTAAAATCATGTACTTGTCAAACCTCGCTGGAATGGTGATTTATGCCACTGTTTCTAAGTTAATTACTACTAGGAAGTTTCATACGACTTGGAAAGTGTAGTTCAGAGGTTACAAAGAGTACGCATAGCTGGTGGGGGGGCAAATAATGACATCCCTCAAAAGGGCACCACTGTTATATCAAAATTGTAACTGACTTGTTCTTTTGACAACACTGTCTCGCTTCTGGGGATATACACTGGAGCTACACCTGTACGTGTGTGAAATGACTCATGCACCAACTTATTCATCACAACACTGTTGATGGCAGCACAGTGTTGACAGCAGCCCAAGTGCACAGTCCCTGTAGAGGACTGTTACGTAAACTATGGTGAATCCACTCAGTAAAGGACTGGGGAGCTGTAAGCAAAAGAATGAGGAATCCATCAAAAGACTGATGTGGAAGGATATTCAGCATCTATTAAGTGAAATAATCAAGATAGAGAATAGTACTATCTTTTACAGAATGGAGAACAAAGAATACATTCACATTTATGTATCTTTAACACAAAAACACAAGAAACTAAGAAAGTGATCACATTCGGAGGAACAGGGTGGGCACAGAATGTGGTGGGCAGGGTTTTAAAGGGGAAGGAAAAGGACACTTCTCATTATTTGCTTTTTGAAATATAATTTTGATGCTTGAATTATAAAAATATACTACATCTTCCAAAAATTAAAATAACTTAAAGATAAGATGTAAAATATCTTTCTCCCACTCCATTTTATTCCCTAGAGGTAACCACTTTGATGAATATCTTACATAGACTTATAGTTTCTTATATAGAGTAGTCTACTGTATTAGCCAAGGATCTCCAGACAAACAGAAATAATAAGATGTGTGTGTGTGTGTGTGTGTGTGTGTGTGTGTGTGTGTGTGTGTGTATGGAGAGAGAGATTGAAATTTATTTTTAGGAAATGGCTTACAGGGTGTGAAGGCTGGCAATTCCAAAACCTGAAAGGTAGGCTGATGGGCTGGACACCCTGAGAAGAGCTGATTTTGCAGTCTCAAGAACCAAGGCCAACTAGAGACAGAATGCTTTCTTGATTGGGGGACTTCAGTTCTTCTCTCAAGGCCTTCAGATGATTGAGTGATGCCCACTCACAATATTGAGGGTAATTTGTGTTACCGAAATCTACTAATCTAAGTGTTGATTACATCAAAAAACAAAAACAAACGAACCAAAAAAACCTTTACTGCAACATCTACACGAGCATTTGACCATAAACTGGCCAAGGGGAAACCAAGCTGACATATAAAATTAGCCATCACTTTCATGTACAGTTTTAATACGCATCTGTATCTGTTTGTTATTTTTGTGTAGAAATGGTTGCATAGCATACACACTGGTATACACCTTGTCTTGGGTGAGAACTTTGCAGATTTTGAAGGAATAGGAGAAATCTCGAAGTATGCCTTTAGAGAATATATATGAAAATTGGTAACTTTGTATTACAGAAGAACTACATGATTAATAGACAAAGGGAAACGCAGCTTAGAAACACATTTGGTAGTAGTTAAGGTTTACATTGTATCAAGGCCCCTGTACATTGAAAAGGACAACGTTGATTCCGCACTCACAAAGAGCCAGCCCACGGCAGGAAAGCTGCAGCCGGCCAGGAAGAAGCCATTCAACAAATGTCCATCTCACCAACACTCACAGAAATGCAAAGTGAGTCAGATAAAACTTAAGTATATATTAAATTCATTTTTTTAAAGCACAGGCAACGTTGCTATGAAACTTGGAGGCAGCTGCAATGCTGGTGTTAGAGTAGTTGGCCTTTCAAAAGCGGTTTGGCGAGATGAAACACTCGCTGTAAAATCATGCCCTGCCCTGGCTGGCATAGCTCAGTGGATTGAAGGCGGGCCTGCGAACCAGAGTATCGCGGTTCGATTCCCAGTCAGGGCACATGCCTGGGTTGCAGGCCAGTTCCCAGCAGGGGACTCACGAGAGGCAACCACACATTGATGTTTCTCTCCCACTCTTTCTCCTTCCCTTCCCCTCTCTCCAAAAGTAAATAAATAAAATATTAAAAATAAATAAAAAAAATAAAATAAAATCATGCCCTTTGGCCCAGTAATCCCTTTTCTGTTAACTCACTTTGAGAAAATAATTTAAAAGATGGTAAAAGGCATAGATCATGAGGATGTTTGTTCTGTACAAAGATAGAGAATAAGCTAAATATCCTGAAAACATAAGAATACAGGCTAATTATGCTTTACTACTTTCATGAAACGTAGCCATTAAACATCCATACAGAGACTCGCAACATAGCATAGGTGCATTATTTCATGTGACATATAACAAATGATTATGCCTTGACCTTGGGTACAATGACCTTGATTTCCATGACTAGAACACTGCAGGTGTGGGCGAGGACAGACAGGGATGTGCAAACCTAAACACAGTTTGAGCCATTAGAACATCAGAATCGTGTGTGACATTTTTTATTTTGTTTAAGTCCTATTAATATATGTCTTCATTCATATGTGCTGCTCTAACAACATATCATATACTGAGGGGCTTATCAACAACAAAAATGTACTCTTAGGCGTCCACAAGACAGAGGCGCTGGCAGGTCTGTTCTGGCCAGGGCGCTCTTCCTGATGGGTAGGTCTTTTCACCGCGTCCTCCTGTGCGAAAGGGAGCGGGCAGAGTCCATGGAGTCTCTCTCATAAGGGCACTAACCCCCATCCTGAGGGCTCTGTCCTCAAGACTTAAGCACCTTCCGACGGTCCTACCTGCAGATATAGCCACACTGGGGATTACGTTTCAAGCAGTGAATTTTGGGGTGACACAAACAACAAGCTAGGGCAATATTGTTATTTTATAATATTTTTACGTAACAGTGAGTCAATATTGTCTCAGATTGGCATGATCGTGTTGTAATGAGATAAGACTTGAAGAATCTTTTGATCCTACTTATCATCCACTCCCATCACCGGATGGTGGCAGCTGTGGAATCTAAAGTCAAAGAGCTTGTGACTCACATATCTGGGGGGCATATTGCAGGTGTTAGGACAGAACTCTCATGTTCTGCTGGGAAACTGGCCATCACTGTATTGATGATGCCTGGAGAGATGCTTCAGAACCTTTAGATGTTAATCTGTATAAGAAGAACAGAGAAATTGGAAGCAAACTACATTTCCATGTCAATGTACTTAGCTCCGTTTCTAATATTAAACAATAGCTAGTGTTACTACTCACTTTGTAGTTACTAAAGGTGTTTCATTAAAATTAGAATAGTGCTTCATTCTACAAAAAGACCTATTAGAATGTTGTTTATCTTTGTTCCCATCTTAAGTGTCAGATTAGTTTTTCCCGGTGAATGTAAGTATACAATCAAGGAAGACCTGATGAGAAAAACATTGTTTATTTTGTTGTGGTTTTCATCCTCACAGTGAGACATTTCCCAATTAGCAAAATGGGTTTTCCAAGCAGGAAAAAGATGGTTGGACGTGCCTGAGTCGCTGCGAGTGCCTGCCAGGAAAGCGGATTTGATGCTAATTCCTCTGATGAACATGTTTTTCAGGGTGGATCACTTGTACACATTCTTCGTTCAGTGGTCTCCTGACGTCTACGGGAAAGATGCCAAAGAACAAGGCTTTGTGGTGGTGGAAAAGGAAGAACTGAATATGATCGACAACTTCTTCAGTGAGCCGACCACCAAGAGCTGGGAGGTGAGCACTGGAGCAAGGGATAGACTGTCGTGGTCCTTAAACCACAGTATTCAGTCAGAATGTTCTTGTGTCCAGATTCCCAGAGCTTCTGGGCTTACAAGAAGATAAGTTCCCTGTACGCCTTTGAAGTTACAGCCTGACACAACCTTATTCCTGTTCGAAGCTGGTTACGTGTGTCAGACAGGCTATCCCACCAGCACTGCCACCAGGTCATTTCACTCCTCTTTTTAAAAACTGCTGCTGTGTCCCTTTTATGTCAAGCATGAAATTAAAGCTCTTTAATTTGCTCTGAAAAGCCCTTCATAGGTTTTTTTTTTTTGAGCACTTACCAACCCCTTCCCATGTTAGGGGCACAGGGATGAGAAAAGTAGAAGTTAGCATTAAGGTGTATAGACGAATCATGACATTATGAGGTGATCGCTATATCACAGGTGAAGTGCCAGGCTCTACAAGAAGCTGTAGCCAGTAGTCCGAATGGAGCGGGAGGAGTCGCCCGGGAGAAGTGGTCTGGGTGGAGGTCAGCCGTGGGGATCGGGCAGCTGTGGCGGGAGCGAGGCATAGAGCACCTTCTGGCCGGAAGGAAAAGTCCGTGCGGAGAAACGACTCAGCGGGGAAACAGAGAGCATGGGGCATGTTTCTTCTCATTTATTTTTTTAGTCCTCACCTGAGGACATGTTTACTGACCTTAGAGAGACAGGAAGGGAGAGAGAAGCATCTATGTGAGAGAGAAACATTGATTGGTTGCCTCCCGAATGTACCTGATTGGAGACCACACCACCAACCTAGGCATGTGTCTGGATCGGGATTGAACCCACCTTTCGGTGTACAGGGCACTGCCTCAACCAGCTGAGCCGCCCGGCCAGGGCTCATGGAGCATTTGGTGAACTAACAAAAACACGTGTGGCCGGAGCATTGAGTGCAAAGCTGAGGGAACAGTGGGAAAGGAAACTGGAGAAGGAAGCGCGGACGGAGGATGAAGGATCTATGTACCAAGTGTCGGAGAGCTTTTGGTTCTTCTCCCAGGGGCAGTAGGAAGGCACGGGGCTGTTTTGAGCCTGGAGGAGTGCACACCGATGTGCGTGGGGGGAGAGCACCCCCTGGCTGGCAGAAGTACAGTAGGTTGGAGCGATCAACACTCGAGCCTGAAGACCCGCTAGGAGGCTCTTGCAGTAACCATGTTGAGAGAGAATGATTGCTGCAAGAATGGTGGCAAGAGAAGAAAAAAATTGAGTGCTTTTGAAAGAGAGAAGGTAAAATACACAGGACTTTGTGAGTCATTGATGACATGTGCACAGTACAGAAGATGGCAAGATGGATCTCTTAGTTTTTAGAGTGGGAACTGAAGGGGTAGTGGGATAGTGAGATCAGGAGCACAGCAAAAGGATGAGATGCAATAGAAAACACTGCTGTATTCTGATTTTAATCTCTGTTTGAGGGACCCGTGGATTATCCAAAAGACAACTGAGTATAAAAGTTAGGGAAAAGGTCTAAATATGTACTTTGGGGAATCATTAGCAAAATGGAAGTTTTGTGAGTGGATGAGGTCATCCCAGGAGAGTGTGACGGTGGGTAGGGAGCGGGGCTCGGAACAGAACCGTTAAGGATAGATACTGGCATTGAAGGGCCAAAGACGGTGGTGCCCACCGAGATAGTAGTCGAGAGAAGGAGCAGCCAGGGAAGGGGAAGGGAAACATGGAAAGACGTGTCTTAGAAGCCAGGGGAAGAGACTGTTTCAAAAGGCAGGAAACTGGTCAAAAATGAAAATGCTGTTGTAGAGGAGTCAAAAAAAAAAAAAAAAGAACTAAGCAATGTCTTGGATTTAAAGCCAGGAGTTAGTTGGTGACTGTGACAAAAGCAGTTTCATTGAAGTGGTAGGTCCAGTGGTTCAAAGAATGAGTGGACGATGGGGGATTAGTAGTAAATGGGGGCAGACAACTCAGATTTGGCTTTGGAAGATGAAATTGAGGTAAGCTGCTATGTTGGAAGAGGAGGTGTGGTTGGGGAAGGGCTTTTCCTCTTGTTAGGGAGACTTTAACCTTTTTGATGAGGTCAGCGAGATGACGGTATGGAAGATAAGGGAAGGAGAGAATATCGGGAGAGGGGATCCCTGAATGTCCGCAAGGGATATGGGGGTGGGGATAGGCTTGACCTTAGATTGGTGGTCAGACAGTAGAAAAGAGTAGGGTATTTGCAAGTAAAGTATAGATTTGGTGGCAGTAAATTGTGAATGGTTCCTTTGAAGCAGAAGGAGGGGGCATCTCCTAGGAGTGAAGGCGGAGTGGGAGGAATATGGAGAAGGTGGGAAATGGCAACTCTGGAGACTGGGGAACATGCTAAGGAACTGTATGAAGGCCCCTTGGAGCGTGCGCCCTAAACGGATAAGGGCACCAGGCTGCGGTGATGGGCGATGTTCGCCAGAATCATCAAGTGGTCAGTCAGATTCTTCCGAGCCTGGAACCTTGCAGGACTGGAATGACCAAAGGGGATGAGGCCGGCAGCCCCTGAGCTCTGATCCTTTCTGAATGCCAGGTCCTTTCATACATGTAGTTGCTCTCACTCTTCCCTTTGTCATTCACTCCCTTCAAGGTCCAGCTCGTTTGTCACTTCTGTGATGCTTTCTGGAGTAGTTACTCCTCCTGTCCTCCCAAGCCCATTGTTCATAACTCTATAGTATATTGCCCAGCAGTTTTCTTGTTTACGTGTTTCCCCCCCATAGCTCATACACTCCTCCTTTGAGACCATCGTTCGAAGCTCTTAAAGCCTATTAGGCTCTCCATCCCTTGGCTTTGTGTATCAATTCTGTTTGGGGTTTTTTTTGTTTGTTTCCCTTCTGCTTCTCACCAGGCTTTCTGAGTATATAGTGCCTGTCCCCAGGAGTTTTACCTGGGTTCTTCTCATCTGTTACTCTTCCTTGGATGAGTTCATCAGCTTGTGTTCTGTGTTATTACTCCCACTCCTGCCTTCTCCTACACACCTCTTTCTCCCAAGCTGCTCCTCTAGAGCTTGTAATTGCCCCAGAGGCACTGTCTGAGGTCTCCCCCAGGCAGGGATCATGTGACATTGGCATTCTGGCCAAGGCACCCAAGAGGGTGAAGCCTTGTCCTCACCGAATCATCTCTGCCTGAGAGGCCTTTGTGAGGCGTGTGCACAGAGGAAGCTAAATCAGAAAGCATGTGTCTTCTTACTGAGGCTGTGGTCTCCTGCCCATGTGAAGTTCCAGAAAGAAGGTTTAGGTTGTCCTCGGGGCTTAATCCTTTCCTCACTAGGCCTGAATATTTTGAGCCAAAACCTTTCCCTTAAGGCCTGTCGTGCCTCACTTCCAACCTTGAATCTCAGCTGTTGACAACTCCAGTGAGACAGGAGGCCACACCTACTAGTACAGAGGAAAAGGGGCTACACTGGTGTTCAGAGAAAGGTCTGCTTCAGAATCTAAGGCCGAGGGCATGGGCAGTCTGCCCCAGGCCTTCTCAGTTTGAGCCACTGTGAAGAATGAAAGAGGGTAATCCCTCTAAACCCGCAGTGAAAGAGGAAGAAAATTGTTGGCCTGTTCCAGGCTCCGAATGCTCGTGCTGAAAAGCACACATGGGAAGAAAAGATACCTGGAGAGAAAGGTGGCTGGACTGATCAGGTCACCTTATCCCTATTTCCTTGCCGCACGGACAGAGTTCAAAAGTCCGTTGGAACAATGCTGCCGATTTCCCTCCCATGCAGGAGCCAGCTCTGCTTACTAGCATTCCCACAGAGCCAAGCCTTTCTCCCCTCTGGGGGTGGGGAGGAGGAACGTTCGCTCCCCTAGAAGCTATGGGGGTCTGATCCTCAGTATGCCCAAAGCAGCGTCTTTCTCCCAAACTTGCCTCTCCTCATATATTCCCATGTCAATTGGTGGTGCTGTAACCATGCAGCTGGGGGACCCATTCGCATGGTGCCTTGGTGCATGACCCAACAATCAGTATGGGAAGGAACAGGCCTTTATTTACAATATTCCAACCTTGGGGATGCTCAGAGCACTTATGCTTGGAGCCCTCCTTTCCCACGAGGCCTAGCACTTCCCTTTCCCCAAAAGGCTATAAGCCAAAAGCAAAACCCAGTACAGTTCCCCATATTCTTATCTTCAGCCACCTGCACAAACGGTTCTTCATTCCCTCTGGAATGTACTGAAGTCGCCATCCTCATGCAGGAGCTCCCTCCTTCAGGATCTGGGGTACATAGTCATCAGCCTCTGTGCAACAGTCCAGGAATGCATGGGCCATGGAGCAGTTGATCATAGTCAAGTCTGGGGAAGATATAAGTCTCAAGTGTCCAGATAAAGTCCCGGTTAGCAAGGAAGCAGGTCAGCGTCTTGTAAGGGAGGGTCTTCAGAGTCAGCTAGAGTGGGCACAATCAAGGCAGCAACATGTATCCCTCTTTACTGCACCAAACCGCATGGCCGGGTCAGCTACACAGTAGCTTGCTTAGTTCTCCCTCTGGCTTCTCCACTTCCTCCCAGGCTGCAAGGCAGAATATCTCCAGGCTCTCTCTCCTGCCCTTTGTTTAAATTCTGAAAGAAACACCTTTTCACCCAGGGCAGTAGCATAAGTTATTATCATAGCTATTACACTAGCTACCAGCTTGCCATAGGTATGCAAAGTATCTTCATCTATATTGTCTGCTTCCAAGGGCTGCAGGGGTTTTTCCCATATTCCAGGGCACCTCTTACCCTGTACCCCATTACAGTGATCCAGGCTGGAAACACTCCCAGGTTCTTCTTCATCTCCATATCTGGTCATTCATCTGTAGGCTGGATCTTATGGATTCTGTTCTTAAATGTGCAGAGCCCTCAGCCCCCCCCCCACTGCCCCCACTGCCCCCACAGCCTGTCTGTGCCGCCCCCACAGCCTGTCTGTGCCCCCCCCACTCCCAAAGGAACCTCCAGTCCCAACCCACCCACTGGTTCACCCTCCCATATGCAAGGTTTTTAAATACGCTTTATTTCCTAATTTTATCAAAACAATACCTGCTTATTTTAGGAAATTATAAAACAGAAAGATGCAGAAAATTTAAAAATAATGTCTACACACATGACACTTTTGTACATTTCCTTCGATTCCTTTTTTTCATTCAATTTTAGAGTTTTTTTCTGGGGGATGAGGTTGGAGTTGTCTTGCTTTTCATTTTTTTTTTTTTTTTTGCAAAATGGAATCAAGTTCTTTATATAGGTTTGTATCTGGTTTTTCTCACCTGAAATATTGTGATAATTGTCATATTAAAGATATTTAAGCTGCATTTTTAATGGTTGCATAATATTATATCTCAATCAAGATTTATTTAACGATTCCCAATTTCCAGGAATCTTTGTGTTGGCTCGGGGTTTTCACAAGGATGAGATAATCTGTAACTTGTAGTTTCTGGGAGGTGAAATTACTTGGTGTCAGAGTGCTACGTTTGTATGCAATGCCCACTTGTCGGCAATGGGAGGGAACCCTCCCCCTGTGTTTCTGCCGGCAGAAAATATTGTTACTATGGTGCCTTGGTACAAGTTTTTGCTCATTTGCAAGTTGAGAAATGATACAATTTAATTTTTGTTTCCTTGATTAGGATTGAGGATAGAGTGAATCTTTTGTGTATGTGATCATGTCTTATCATGTATAATCTGTTTTGTTGTTGTGATGCCCACTCGTTTTCTTTGCCCATTTTCCTAAAGGAACCTTAATAATTCCATCACGCTGTTTGAGCTCTTTAGGATTAAAGATATTGCTTTGTATCCTGCATTTTCGACAGATATTTTCCAAGTTTATTATCTTTTCTTTATTTTTTGTTAATGGTTTTTGCTTATAGTGCTTTTATGTATCGTTGGCCCCATGCAATTAATTTAAACTCTCGTCATTCTACAGTTGACTGACTGATATGTGATAGGTAATATTTTATCTGCCAGTTTTTTCAGCACTGTTTAATGATCTGTGATGTTTTCTTCATCGTGTTTAAAAATCTTGCATATATTCTGTGCTGTTTGTTTATAAATAAGTGATCAAGCAGGTGATCACAGGCACAATCTCTGCTCAGAACACTCACTGGTTCTCTGTTGCCCACAGCCGTCATTACCCATCTGGCCAATTATCCGAACCACCACTTGGCAAATTATTATTTTTTTAACTGAAAACTAGCCCCTCACCGCTAGGGACATTAATTCAGTGGGTCCGGGGGAGGAATGTTGGAATCTATATTTTGGGGGAAAGGAAGAAGAGAGGGAGAGAAACATCAATGTGTGGTTGCCTCTCATGTGTCCCCTGCTGGGAACTGGCCTGCAGCTCAGGCATGCGCCCTGACTGGGAATCAAACCGCGATCATTCGGTTTGCAGGGCCGCACTCAAGCCACTGAGCTATACCAGCCAGGGCTTGTAAATCGTTGTTTTTGAGTGATGCTCTAATGTTTATATTCCACTTGGACTTTACTGTTTCAGGAAAATATTAAGGACTTCAGGGTCCATTTCTCAATCTTAGAAACTTTCAGCTTAAGGGAAACATTTTATAAGTTTATAGAAGTTAATATTTTTTCACTGATACAGCAGTGAGACCTGAACCCAAGTCACATCAGACTCTGGGTGGTAGAAGCTGCACAGTAATTATATGGATCTGAGAAAACTGAGCATACCTGATGTCTGTGATTGAGGGCGGAATCTGTATTTTTAAAACCTCTTAGATGATTTTGAAAAACAGACGGGTTTCAGAAACACTATCCAGTAAGTGGTAAGCCCCTTCATAGCACCACAATTGTTCTTTTTCTCCACTTCTTCTCCCTCCCCAGCCTCCTGTCTACTTCCCTCGCTCCCTATTCTCAAGCCACAGTGAACAAAGAACACGGCTGTGTTCCTGCTGTTCCCTTTACCTGGACGCCTCCCCATGCCCCACCCATTGCTCTCAAACTGAGTAAGCAGTCTCGGAACTCTCTAGGTGGCTCCAACTTCCTTTGAGCTGCTATTAGCATTTGTATCGCGTGGAATGGCATTCATTTATTTATAAATGTCTCTCTACTGCCTCCTCACCCCCCAAACTACAGACTGTTTTGTGTCCCTGTGTCTGGCGAAGCACCTGACACCACCATCATTTAGGAAGCATGCAATAAATATGAGCTCCCTTCTTTTGCTTAGCATAATAGACTCCAGATCCATCCATGCTGTCACAAAGGGTAAGAGTTCCTTCTTGTGTTCCATTGTGTGAATGTACACATCTTTTTAAGCAAAAAAGCCAGTCAGAGAAAGACAGATACCATATGATCTCAGTCGTATGTGGAAACTAATGAACAAAATAAACTCACAAACAAAATAAAACCAGAGACATGGACACATGGAACAGACTGACAGATCTCAGAGCAGGTGGGGGACTGGCAGAAATCAACCAAGAATTCACATGCATAATGCAAGGTCCATGGACACAGACAACAATGTGGTGAAAGCCATGGGCAGGGCGCTGCTGCCTGTGGAGGAAGTCAAGGGGAGGGGGTGGGGGGAGGGGGACATCTGTAACAGTGTCAACAATAAGAAAAACGTTAGCTGTCAGGAAGTGCCAGGTACTTAAAGGAATGTCATCTCCCAGCACAAAATGCTAGTGATTCTGCCCCGGGTTATGTCTAGGCTCTCCACGAAGGATGAGCTCTGGCCAACCTGGAACTGGTCCCAGGGTACCCAGGACCCTCCAGGGTCCCCCCGTGGTGGGCTGTGCCAGAGCACTCCTGTCCCCTCAGCAGGACCAAAGGCCACTGTGGATCTGGAAAAGTCACAGAAAGATCACTGAAAAGTGATCCACTGTGTTCTGCATTTCTTTCCATCCTCCGACATTGGATCTGGGGCGTGGAGCCCGGCTCGTCATGCTTCTCAGCCTTAAGATTAATATCCTGAGTTTGTGGGAAACACAGAATGCCATGTACAGATAGATGATGTATTACAGATCTGTACACTTGAAACTTACAGAATTTTATTAACTGATGTCACCCCAATAAAATTAATGAAAAAATTTTAAAGATTAATATCCTAAAAAGTATAAAGGGTTACCTTTCTTTTTTTTTACTTTGCCAGCTGTTTTGAAAAACTGACTCTAAAATGACATTTTCCCTGCCTCATATAAACCAGATGTTTTCACACTTTCCAGTGCCTCCCACTTAATGAACATGACATGATATTAAGTGAAATGCCATTGTTCTAAGTACAATGAACCTCGGGTAAAGTCTCTTTTTATCCTTCCCACGAGATTCAAACTGATGTCAGGGAAATTACGTAAAATTTAAAATGGAGGTTTGGCTTTAGAGAAGGTGCTGAAAAAAACGCCGGGAAGTCAAGGTTACAAAAGCTAGCTTAGCGGGAGGGCAGTTAAGAAGAAAAGGGGGGGAAACCAATGGGATTTGTTGTACTGGTAGGAAACCACCGTTTCAAAGGTGAAGTGTCGTTTTACAGCCTCACAGCTGTGCCTGGCAGGAAGTTTGTGTTTGCTCTAAATCCTAATTTGGGTGTGTTCCTGTAGAAATGTTGAACCTTCTCCTAAGGGAAAGAGAAACTCAACCATGCAGGAAACTAGACACTGCAGAAACAGTTGTAGCGCAGCGTGGTTACAAGTAACAGTGTGTGGAGGCAGAGAGAGAAAAAACCTCTTCCTCATTCGAAAGCCAGCAGGCAGTTCTCACCGAATCACCATGAGAGTCCGAAGACTGCCCTTGGACGTTCAGATTTTCTATTGTGCCAGACCTAACCAAGAGCCTTTTGTGAAGGTATGTTGGGGTCCCTGACTGCTAATTAGGTGCCCACGAATCCTTAGAGATCTGCCGCTCAGTATGTTTTGAATTGTTGTCTTAACTAGAAAAGAATGTGCTGGCATATCAACCAGAGCAGGTATTCTGTTTGTTTGAAGATGGGTATGGTGTGGTTTGCCCCATCTTTGGAGTAAAAAAATCCATACTTGATTTTTTTTTCCTTTCCACAGCCTCATTTTAAACCTCTGTTCAATGTAGAGTTCACTGAATAGATGATTGATAGATAGATAGATAGATAGATAGATAGATAAATGTGCTTTATTTGATACATCGAAAATGCTGGCTATGTGATTCTCTGGTAGTGTTTTCTTTAAGAACTTCCCCTGGAGAAGATGGTAAAATGTATAAGCTAATTTCTCTCCCTGTAAATCTGGCACAGGCGACAGCAGGTGCTTTATATCTCTGACCGTGCTTTGGGGAATGGAGTCGTGCATTATTTGACACCTTTTACTAGATAGAATTTAAATGTTTTTCTCTACAATGCAGAAGTCATTAATACTGGTAGACAGGAATCTTAGTGAATTAGTCACGTTATGTGTGTCTTCAATTTCAAAATAATTCAGTGATTTATCCACACTTTAGGAGGGGCAAACCAATGGACTCTTAAAGGGAAATGTACTTTGGTAGTTCCTAAGCTTAGTTACAATGAAATAATTAATATTGTGTACAACATCATATTTCTCAGTTTTGAAGGAAAGTCCACTTTGGTTGTTTCTGAACTGTACGTAAAGAATCACGACCCAACTGTAATTTAGACCACATTTGTGTTTCCTTAGGTTGTGGCCCTGGTAGCCATTACCAGCCGTCATCACCATCAGGGTTGGTTGCTATGTGCACAATCTTAAGACATTGAGTCTTAAAAAAATGACCTTACCTTTCCCGTATCCCTATTTATAGAAAACGTACTCATAGAACGGTCTCTGATTGGGCCCATAACAATTCGGAGTTAGACGTGTGCTGCAGGAGAACAGGGGCGTTTCAGGGGTCTAAGTGGCTTGTGGAGTTGTACACAGTTCTTGCTCCAGGACTGAGCAGTCGACAGCAGTAGTAAAGGGGAAAACTTTCGACTTTAATTGGTACCTATTAAGTGCCTCAGCTGTCATGTGTTAAATTCTGCATTGGTTCTGAAATTGAAAAATTAGCTATTTTCCAAAGCCCCAGGTCAGTTTATGTCTTGGCACTACAATGCCACCTGTTTCCGGAAAAGCAGGTGCATCGTGGGGCAGGTTTGGCTTATTTGTTTTCCGCATTTCAGATCATCACCGTCGAGGAGGCAAAGCGCAGGAAGAGCACGTGCAGCTACTACGAAGACGATGAGGAGACAGCCTTGCCCACCCTGCAGCCCCATAGTGCGCTCCTGGAGAACATGCACATCGAGCAGGTGGGCCTCCCTGGGACTCAGCATGGGGGTCTTCCCAGCCTTAAAAAGCACTTCCCAACCCTGACCACATTTGCTCACTTCATTCCGGGTGCAGGGCGAGCCAGGTTTCAAAGGAAGATCACCCACAGCCTGACCAAGGCCAGGTTCCTTTCTCCACCTCCAAGAGGCGTGGCACCACTCCCTGCTGCCTTCTCAGGAGTGCGTGCACGCGACCACACAGGATATCTGCCCCCAGGCCTGAACGAAAAGCCGTTTCTGGTTTTCAAAACAATTTGCAAAGGGTCCTACCACAGTCCTGCTGCACTTAGGATCCAAATTTATCCCTGTGACTACTGCCCAGTTCCAGCATTTTCCATTTACTAGGCTCAACAAAAATCGTATGGCAAATACACTTTATTTGCTTCATGAAAACTACCAACCAGTAGGATTTTCCTTTTTCTGTAGCTTCCCTTGTGTCCTTTATATTTTCTGAAAGTGTGTTACTTCTGTTTTATAAAATATAGAACGTGCTCACATTTGACGTTCAGTTAGGAATCTCTTCTACTTCCCCGGCAGCCAACTTAGATCTGAATTTCAGTGACCTAAATCAATGAATCATCAAGTTCAACTCCTTCAGTTTAAAAGTGAGCCAACAACGGCCCAGGACAGCCAAGAGATTTTACCAAGCAGTTGCAGAAATGGGGTTTAGTCTAACACTAGAACTGGTATTCAGCATTCTGAAGACTTCAGTACTTCATAGCCTCCTTCATTAGTATTTTTGAAGAGATGCATTATTGGTATTTATAACAGTCAAGTTTAAGCTAAATATTTTTTAAAGATTTTATTTATTTTTAGAGAGAGGGAAAGAGGGAGAGAACTGTCAATGTGTGGTTGCTTCTCACACTCCCCATACTGGGGACCTGGCTCTGCAACCCAGGCCTGTGCCCTGACTGGGAAATGAACTTGCAACCCTTTGATTCACAGGCTGGTGCTCAGTCCACTGAGCCCTACCAGCCAGGGCTAAGCTAAATATTAATGTAGTGAAAGATTCAGTTGCAATGCGCGCAGGCTATATCTACTTGCGTAAAACACTTTGTGTTCTCACTGTCACTTCTGTAGAAAGCTGTCAGTAGTAGCTCTGAGCCTTTGAGGGTTTAGAAAGAACAACTGAAGAAACATGCGCTATTTGGTGAAAACCAGGATGAAGTGTAACACAGAGAGAATACATCTAACTCATACTTCTTTATCAGGCCAGGTGCTGTGTCTCCCAGTGTCTAATGGCACAGGGAACACACAGTCAGGCTCCTGGGGTAAAAGCATGCTCTGGGCAGCATTCTGCTAAGGTAAACCCCACCAAGGAATGACTTTCCCTTCTCTTTCTTGGTTGAGAGTGGCAAAAATTTGCCAGAATAGAGGGGGATGATGTGTAAATTCATGTGGTTTTAAGTTTGACCCATAGGCACGTAGTTAGTGCTGCGTGTTCACGAGTGACTTGTGAGTGAACTGTTTATATTCATGTCCATCTTTGGGTTCACAGCTCGCCCGACGCCTTCCAGCAAGGGTGCAAGGGTATCCGTGGAGACTCGCATATAGCACATTGGAGCACGGGACCAGCTTAAAAACTCTCTATCGGAAATCAGCATCGCTGGATAGCCCCGTCCTGTTGGTCATCAAAGACATGGATAATCAGGTGAGGCTTGTTCCTCTCTTAGAAAACATTTTTTTTTAATGAAGGTTTTATGGAGCTTCTCAAACGTACACAACAGTAGAGAGACAAATACAACGAAGTCCACAACTTAGCAGGATTTTCCCCCATAAGCTTCATCTGCCTTTTCTTTGTCAGTTTTTCTTTGCTAAAGTGTTTCAGAAGTAAATCCCAATTACTGTCACACTTCAGATTACATCTCTAAAAAAGAATATGGAGCATATTTTCAAATAGAGTCACATTTTAGGGTGTGACATTTTAGGGTTTTTGTTGTACTCACCGTGAAGTAGAAAGCTATAATGATGTTCTAGAATGTGAAGCTGGAGAAGGTGGAGAAAAGTCAAGTCTGGGTTTGGAGCTGATCGCAGAAAGAAATTCCAGTGCCGCACCAGAACTCTTTCCAGGGAGCTGAAGCAGGGCCCGCAAACCTTGCCTGCATCATTGCTGAGACAACGGAGAACCAGTCAAGGCCCGGTGGTTATGAAACTGCAGGGAGAGTGCTCTGTCTGTACTGGGGCTCATGCACTTTCACCTGTATTGCGGTTGGTCTTGCAGACACTGATGAAATCTAGATATTTCCCCCATCGTCCCGACACTGGTACTTCCCACCTCAGGCAGCGTGGTGTGCAAGTGGAATCTTCCCTGGATTCTTTTGTATACCACCCAGCCAGGCTCCTGCTTCACAGAAGAAAGGCATCTTCAAGTCTGTTCTTTATTTCTGTTTTGTGTGTGTTATATCAAGAAAAAATTCCTTTACAGTTTCAGGCTGTGGATGCCATTCTTTTCTCTTTCTGGTATTGAAGCAGTTTTTATGCAACAACCATTCATTCATTCATAAAATGTATAATGAGTGCCTGTTACACGTGGGGCACTATTAAGCATTGAGAAGCTTTCTGTCAAGCCATGTAATTGGGATCATTTTAGGGGAAATAGTTCTTTGCTGTCATAAGTTGCCTTGGGAAAAATCAGCAGAGAAATGGGGTGCTGAGGCGCCTCCCTCAACTGTGTTTTTTCCTGGGATTTATTGCAGCTTCAGAGTTGTGTGGAGTAGTTTAGCTGTTATTGTTACTGGTATTATTTCTTGATGGATGACATTTAATCATGATCCAGCAGAATAGTGGGCAGAGTCGAGTTAAAAATTACAAATCATAATAACAGAGGTTTAAAGGTGAATTACTTAGGGGTTTAGTGGGATGTGTGAGAAATTGGGTGTGATGTTTTCAATGAGTGAGGGCTAGATGGTGTTAGACCACAAGCACAAACCCTCGCCATAAGATAATAGACTTGTCAGGGCAAGTATGGGCTGCGTAGAGCAGGCATTGGTGAAGCACAGCGTCACCTGCGCCTGCTGGCAGGTGGGTAAAGGAGTCCTGTACCTGCAGGCCACACTGTTCGTGGGGAGGGGGGGGGGGTCACTAAACCTGGTGCGTTCAAGTGGCTTGCATTGTTTGAAGAACCCTGAACTCTAACTTTCTCACCCCATCCCATCCACCCCCGAGGCAAGAATGTGGTCTTGCTGTATTTGAGAGCATGGTAGAGCAAAATTTATGAATTTATCTGGAAATGAATTGTATAAAATTTTAATACAAAAATGTCACATACACAAAATGGCAGTAACAAGGAGCTCGGACAAATCAGTCCCCAGTGAAAAAACCCTGCTGGTGGGAATTACAAAAATGACAATCAAAGCCTCTGGAAACTGTCCTATGGGCATACAAGTGAAGAAACATTTATTCAAGAAAATAAAGTAAATCTCGGTAATAACAGTGAGATTCTGTGGTGCATGAAGCACAGCCTGTGCCCTCCACTCAACACCCAGTTCAGAGTGACAGACGCTTCACTCTGGGTCTGTGTTGACCAGGAGATGGGGCTCCCTCTGCCCCAGCTCCCAGGCAAGGCCCCCAGCACTTCTCCTGCCTGCCTGAGTCGAGTGTTGCAGAAGCTAAATTCCATGCAGGTGTGGTCTAGAGGCAGCGGCCTGCACCCCACCCTTACAGGGCAGATGCTGTGTATTAGTCGTGGCAGGCTGAGAATACAGGGGCCTCTGCTGCCCTCATCCCAGCCTGTAGGGCAGAGTTGCACGTGACATGAGGTGAGTCAGGACCAGCCTCTACCCTGCCCAGCACCCTGCTCATAAAACGAGATTATTTGTCTAAGAGAAGCCACTGTCCTGCCCCTAGCTCCAGAGCAGAATCCCTATCTCTTAGCTCCCAGCTCCAGGGGAAGACACAGACCATGAAGTGCAGAGCTCTGAATCTCTGCTCAAAGGAACCGACTTTATGTAGAAGTGTATGGAAAAGTTCAGACCAAGGGACCTCTAGAAACAGTGCCAAACAATTATGAGAAGCCTGGTGGCTCCCTAAAGGCAGCAAGCTCAGCTGTAGACCACCTAGTGTACCAGAGAGAAGCAGGGAAAGAGACAGCCAAGGAGAGCCTCCCTGCAGTCAGCACAGACCGACCAAAGGAACTACACTTGCGAAGGGGCCTGCCTTTCATCCAGTCAGGCTGGACTAGCCATACCACAAGGCATTGTGGGAAACAGCAGAGCCACTATCGTGCAATTAATAGTCTGATTTATACCAACTTAATTCCATTGAGGTATAGAAACATTAATCCCATGTTGCTCTACTATATATCATTCTACTTTTTGTGGTAACCTGTTACATATATTACATTGATGTAAACCCAACAATAAATTGTTATGATTACTACTTTATATAATTTTTTATCTACTAAAGAAGCTGAAAGAAGAAAGGAAAGCAAATACACATTTATAGGGTTTTTTCTTTTATATTAACCTTGCTTTATCACTTCTGGTTGTCTTCATTTATCCTGTGGATTCCTTTGCTCTGTCATTGCCAAACATATTAAGTGTTTATATGTTATAAACCCAACAATATTATTGTAGGCATAATATTTTACACACTTGCTTTCTGAAAAGTTTATAGGAAAAAGTTAAAATGGGTGATTTCTTACGTAATCACAATGCTATAAACCTAACAAAATTAATAGTAATTCTCTAGTATTATCCAGTCCTCAGTCCTTAAACGGATTTCCATGCTTGTTAAGGAAATTGTGCAAAGAAAAATATAATTACTTAGATTGTTGTGGAGGGTAAAAGAGTAAGCCTGGCTTTTCCTACTCATTGGCTAGAAGGGAACCCACTTTCTTCCATGTATGGTCATTACCCTTCTTGTTGTATTTTACCACATGCTTAAAAAAATAGATGCCTGTCTCACCTGTATTTCAGTTCTTTTACTGGAAGATAACCAGAAGAAGGAAAATGGATTTTTGATGTGTTTGTTTTTGTTTATTCTTAGCAGCTCTGTGGTAAAACTTGGTAGCAGGATGTCCGAAGAACTTGGGTTAGAAAGGGTTTCCAGACTTCTACGCTACCTAATTTTTAGTATTTCACGGAGCCAGGTATTGAGTCAGACTGGTAAAGGAGAGGTTTGGCTATGATTGTAATTCAGTTAAAGTAATTTTGAAAAATAACATTTTGTAGTCAGCCTCCATTCAGAGCAGTGCTTCTCAGTAGGAAGTTGGAATCTGCGGTTTATCAGAATTACCTACAGACAATTTCAGACTGCCTGCCCTCACTCTTGCCAGCCCTCACCCCCGCAAGTACAGACCAGGATCTGAGCAGAAATGCAGGAAGCCGAGGCAGCAGACGTGCATATTCTGAAAATGCTGCTTCTTCCAGCCCTGAACAAGAAAACAATGGAAGAATCATTGATTCCAGTGCATCCAAGTCACCTTTAAAGTCCGTAGTACATGGAATTGGTTTTTTCTTAGAGCCCAATTTGAACAAGATCTATTAGATCAGTCATGTTACAGATACAGTTTTAATAAGAGTATTGAGAAGTCACTTTTATAAAATAAAAGAGAGAAAAATGTATTTTCTCTGGGGAAATGTCTGGCTACAATTCCACTTATAAAACACAGAAGACGCATGACTTTGTTCTCTCAGCCACTCATTTCTGTGTGCAAGATGCTTCTTGTCATTTAATGTTCCCAATATGTCATCTGCAGTCACCAAAGAAAATTCGTCTCCCTAGTGGACTTTAGGAGTCTTTTAAAATGGAAACAATTGTTGGCCTTTGACAAATAAGTTCTCTGAGCTACTTGGATTTCAGTTAGAGCCGGGGACATTTGAGATGTATGGGGACGTATATCCCTTTGCTGGCGGTTTTTGTTATTTACGAGCTCTGATTTAGTAATGAGCTTTGCTGAAAGAGGTATAATGCAGTCTCAGGATTCTGTTAAAATATTGAAGAAAGTCTTTCTTTGGGAGATTTAGGTTTGAAAGCAGCTAACGTATCTATTCTCTTTTCACAGATTTTCGGAGCGTACGCCACCCACCCTTTCAAGTTCAGTGACCACTATTATGGCACAGGGGAAACTTTTCTGTACACGTTTAGCCCCAATTTCAAGGTACCTGGATGGGAGAGATACCTGATTTCCCCTGTCACAGGGTTGGGGGGTGTGGGGGGCTGGAGGCAGGGAGCTGTTGTTGGAGCAGCAGCTGGCCCAGACCAGCGCCTGATGACTGCGGCACACAGACGGCTGGGGGTCCCTTCGCAGGCTTTGGGGACTGCCCTTCTGTGTGTTCTGGGGTCAGAGTCACATGGGCCCAAGAGATCTTTCTGACTCCTTAACCCCTCGAGAGAGTGCATCCTGTGGCAGGCAGTTACAGAGGGACTATTCTAACGTTCGTGTTTGCTCATTCTCCAGATTGAAAGGTCTGTTCTGTCTTGTGTTTCTACCCTAAGGTCTTCAAGTGGAGTGGAGAAAACTCATACTTTATCAATGGAGACATAACTTCTTTAGAACTTGGTGGTGGAGGGTAAGTCTCTAGTTGTTGTTGTTAATTTACCACCAGACCTGAGTGGGTCTGTTTTGACCCAGATAACCAAAACCCCGGTGTCAGGTGATTTTAGCAAGTCTATCTACTTATATTAATTAGGACAGTGGCCTAATATATGGCACTGAGTCAGAGATACAATGATTTATTTATGTGTCTAAGTGAAGGACTACTACCACTTGTCCTTTAGGAAAGACAGCTCATTTAAATGAAGTAAAGGAAATGCCCCCTTTATTTTACAAGCAATCTAGGTTTTTGTCTGTCTGGAGCGTGAAGGAAAGAAGACTGTGGTAAGGGAGGGTGGAAAGTGTGCCACCCAAGACTGAAATGTTTTCACTTTTTCTTTTTTTAACCTCTTCAGGGGGCGATTTGGTTTATGGCTGGATGCTGATTTGTACCACGGACGAAGTAATTCCTGCAGCACTTTCAATAACGATATTCTTTCCAAAAAGGAAGACTTCATAGTTCAGGACCTCGAGGTATGGACATTTGAGTGAAACTCAGGCTGCCTTAAAGTACAACATTGAAAAGACGAGTTTGCTCAGCCCCACTGCAGCGGGCTGGAAGACCAGCGCCGCCTAGACTGCCTCATGCCCCCATTGACGCTTCCTTCTCCCCTCACCACGGAACGGGACCACATTGCAGAAGGGCCTGCAGGGCACGTGTCCGGGGCAGACTCTGCCCGGAGAGGCCTAATATCCGGCTGGTTGGAAGACTGTGCTCCTGCTTCCTTCAAGTCCATACAGTGAGGAACCAGAGTATCTATAGATGTATGAGTTGAATGCAACTTTTATTTTTGGTAACTGTGAAAAAAAAGATACTGTGGAAATATATACATGCCTTGTGTATTTATCAACATAATTTTCATTACCAAAATGTACAGCATACTGTTGTTTGCCATGGGAAAGGTGAGTCTCATTTAGAAAAATTGAAAGTGCACAGCACTTAAAAGGATATGTATAGAATTTTTTTAAAGTTTTATTTATTATTTCTAGTATATTGTTTGAAATGTGTTGCCAGCTTTTTTTTTTTAATGTGTCAAATCTTGAAAAAAAAGAAATGTGCTATGTTTGGCAACAATTCCATTTGATTTATATAGTTTTATATTGAGCTTTCTTTTTGCCCTGATTGTTTAGGGTGATAGATCTTAAACAGCATATATATATATGCTTAATTGTGAACTTTAAAAAACTCATTACCAATGTTCATTGATTTGATTGTTGTAGGCCAGCGCTCCATTTAGTCATTGGAAAGGTACGTTTTTAGTTACTTATTCTGAACATAGTTGTATAAAGAAGAAAAAGGTATTTCTCAGTTATAATTTGATATTTACAGAAGTGGATACCTTTATGAACCTAGACTAGAACAGACTCTGATTTTGAAAAGAAACTGTTTTGCTTCTTACAAAATCATTTGTTAGTAACAAAAACTTTATTTTCATAGTGTTTTTGCATAATTTCCCCCAATTTTTTACACTAACAAACAGGCCTTTGTTTTTGAAGGGACTGTTTTGTATCAAAGGAAAAATATCAAATTAGCCCAACCACCTTGGTTTTCTCTTTTATTTGAGAAAAAAAACAATGCAAAGACATACATTCATACCAAAACTGGAACAAAAAGTAAAACCTATTTTTCAACATCAACCCATTTCACACCATAAAACACTTTATTAAATATAATAATAAAACCTTATTAAAAAGTTGACCGATATTATTGACTGCCAGAGTATTCATTATGAAAGCCAAAGACTACTAATGGAAAAAAACTTTCAAATAATAGCCAAAGCTGGGAAGTGGTCTGTCATAAATTATATCCCTGGTGATTTTGGAAAGAAAAGAATTAATAACAAGAGTAGCATTAATATACAGTTCTTAGAATTTAAGCCTTAAGCTGGCAGAATATTTCCTGGAGACTATTCTCTTCCTTTAGACTCTTTATAGAGGAGAACAGACACAGTGCCAAGGGGCCTCTGGTCTGACCCACAGCCACCCAACTCCACGTACATTCCACACAAGTTGCAATGAGTGCTGTGAAGGGTCAAGTCTGGAGCCCAGGTGTGCTGTCCCTTGAGTTTTTCTGTTGACAATTCTTGATGAACAACATACTGGCAGTTTAACCTTTATGTGCTCCTTAAATGATGTGTTGGTGTGAGATACCAGGGACATGATGATCACATTTACCAGGTATGCCGTTTGCAACCAGACGCTATTAACAAACAGTCATTCGCATATAAATCACTCTTACCTAGTTTAGTCCATGATATTATATGTACTTGTGAGACCATATCCAGATGCTGTGTTCTCTATTTAAAACAGTATTGTCCATTCAGAAATGTGTGACCCCTCATTTATGGATATCGAATATATGTAATGTAGTGCTAGCCCAATATTTTCAATAAAGGAATTTATGCATTCAGTGTGATTTTCTTTCCCAAGGATTTCATTCAACATGCATTTATTGGATGTTAGAGTTTTTACTTGGGTGAGAGGATAATGAAATATCCAAGACCAAGTAAGGTCCAGTGCTCATGTTTTCATTCTTATCGTCCCCTAGAAACACATTCCCTGTAGCCACCCTCCTCTCATTGCTTCACAAACACTGCTTCTGTCACAGTTACTAGGGACAACTCTTGGCTCAAAGTCTACTAGTTTCCCTGTTCTTAGTCCTAGCTATTCTTTGAACACTGACCTTCTCCTTTCAACATCTCTCTTTTGACCTACTTCCTAATTTCAGTGGACACTTTATCCTCTGACCAGCTTTCTTTGGTGTCCTGTCCACTACCCCTGAAGATGAAGACCTTGAGCAGTCTTCACTGCTTCTCACTTCCTCAGTTCGAGTCTACATCAAAGGACATGGATGGGAGGGGCCCTCAGATGCCTCACCACATTCTGTTGAAAATGACACAGATACGTTCCCATGCTACAGGCCCCCAGGGACACCCCGAACTAGTGTGAGAAGTGTTGTTGCCCTTCATTTGATTTTCTCTGCCTTGCTTCCTTTTAAGGTTGTAGAGGTATGTGAAATAGAACTAATCAAACAACTACTTTCCTGTTGAGGGAGGCTCTGAAAAATCTCTTACTCCAGAGAGAAAAGCTAAGATTTGTGTTCTTAAGATGTCTGACCAATTTTTACCAATCTAATCAGGTAAAGAAAGATAGGGAGGTCAGAAGCCAAAGGAAGTTTCAGGAACGAAGTCAGTCATACTCGCCTCTTGTACAAGTATCAGAAGTACCTTTAACCACTTCCTTCTGCTAATCAGGTCATAGGCCATTCAGGGGAAGCCCTAACCTCACAGCGCTCACCCGCTGCTCCAACCTCTGTGCCTGTGACCATTAGCCGTAGTGATCCTATGACAGACGGTGGCTTCACACCAAAATCCGACTTCTTACTGTCTTCCCTTCTATTTCAAATCTCTAGTGGTTGAAAATAAAAACTAGATAGGGCCTCTCTAGGGTAGTGAATCAAGCCATCAAAATGGTGTTTCTTGATAAAATATCTTTGGCGACCCATTGTTTATCTTCTAGAATCAGGGATGTCCAACCTGTGGCCTATAGACTGCATGTGGCTCAGGATGGCTGTGAACCTGACCCAACACAAAATTGTAAATTTACTCCAAACATTACGATATTTGTGTGTGTGTGATTATGTGTATTTAATGTGTGGCCCAGGGCAACTCTTTTTCCCAGTGTAGCTCAGAGATGCCAAGAGATTGGACACCACTGTGTGTAGATCAGTGCTACTCAATAAAACATTTTACAGTAATGGGAGTGTTCTAGAATTTGCGTTGTTCTTCATAGACAATGCAAGACTAGCAACCACACTAGTCTTGAACACTTGAAATAGGACCTGGGTGATTGAGAAGCTGATTTTTAAAATTTCACTTTAATTCATTTAAATTTAGCCTCACATGGCCAATGGCTGCTGTATTAAATAGCACAGCTCTAGATCAAGGTTAAGATATGGCTCAACCAAATCATGTATCATCAGCAATAAAATCAGACTATTAATCCCTCACCAAAAAGAACCTTTAGGTCTGAGTACTTTGCTTTGGCTCTGCTATTATGGGGCTTCACACAGCTTCACACAGCCGCACACCACCTACTGTAATAGTGTGGTTCTCCCCATTTAGTCAGCCAGTAAAGCCACCAGAAGTCTGAATTCTCTGAGGTTCTTCCCAAACTGAAAACTTGGATCTCTTCAGGATTACCGATCCTCTTCACTAACCAAACACAAAGACTTCTTGCCTTGGACATTGGCATGTGTTTTATTCTTATACTGTACAGTTGGTACCACCCATTCACAATGCCTGAGGGGCCACATGAAAGATAAGCAATTTATTCCTTACTTAGAATTGTGCATCCTTTCTCGGAACCACCAAGAATGCCTCAGGCAGTTCTGTTCAAATACCAATTATTCTTCCTAAGCTTGCTTACTGGAAGCTACAGCCACACCCAGAGAACCGCTTGCATGTGGAGAAAGTTTCAACATTAACCTGTTAGAATGAAGGGTGGAAAGGCATAAGCGAAGAGACCATTAGATAATCTCAGGGTCCTATTTACCTATCAGAAGAGTGCCATCAATTACTCCACTTCTAGGATTACAAAAAGTAACCCTGATCCAGCTTAACATAATGCTATGGATTATACAAACTGCTAGGAAAATGCTAAACAGGAAACACATTCACATTCAATAAACCTGGATAATAAGGCATGTCTCCTCCTGTCTCCAGTAAAAAATCATTCTTGCTTTGACAAGCTTCCGAAACATTGGAATTTAGCCAATCAGTTCAGTCTTCAATACTCACTGCAGTCCTTGGCTTAACCTCAATTTCCCCTGGCTGATGAATCAGCCACATTTTACCTAAGAGCTGGCTAAAATCAGCCCTTTCATCTTTGAAGACTACAATTAACAATAAGAAAATTTATACAAAGATATGCTGTGTTGAAGTAGCGTGTCAGCCTTAAGACTTGTTAAAAGGCCCCACTATTCCTCCACATCAAGTCATAAGTGTGGTCTCTTGCAGTGTCTTGTTTTTCTCTTAAATCTTCTAAAGGATCAGTAGATGGGCTTCACCTGGGGTATCCCAGGGGGAGTTGAGAGGGCACGGCCCGTGTCCCTTTCAGCAGCTCATATCATCAGCTCACCCAGCGAAACCTAAAACTTCTAAAGACTTCAATAGGCAGCAAGCATTGCAGTTAAAGCATGCATTCTCTGCAGCATTGGAATCTCATCTCTAGAGTTTTCTAGCTGGTGAGCTTGGTTCAGTAATTGAACCTCTATAGGCCTTGTATTCCTAACCTACAATGGGAGGATAATAATGTTGTAATGATAACCACCCCATGGCTACTGTTATTACATGGTTAAAGCACTTAAAATGGTACCTGGCATAAAGTAAGCACTACTTACTATTAGATAAAATCGTGGAGGATTTCCTTCCTCACATGCAGGAATCAACTACTGATGTGAAATTTGCAAAGGAAAGTTTATCTTCTAAGACAGCAACTTAGTTTCTAAAAACCATGTTCAGACATATTGCAATGGCTCTCATTCACTCTTTTTGGTATGTTTAACTAAAGTGTCATTTATTTTTTTAA